AGTCCCAGGATTGAGTCCTGCATTGGGCTCCCTGCTCGGCGGGGAGTCAGCTTCTCCCTCTGACCTCCCCTCTCTCATGCTCTCTCTCTCTCAAATAAATGAATAAAATCTTTAAAAAAAAAAGAAAATTAAGTTATGTAAATTTTAAATTAAATAAATGATATTAAAACCAAAAGTTTGAAATATGCAAAACTCTACTTCCTAATCATTTTACTATATTTTATCTTTGCTCTTGAGGTTATTCATACCTATCTTATCTGTATAATAGAAATACTATGAAATGGTGCACTACTGCACGTCTTTCCCCAGTTCTGAGTTCAGTAGCACTGAACTGGTAGCAGAGCCAACTTATCCATTAATGCAGTAGGCACAGTACACAAGGCCCACTCCACTTTTAGAGGCCATGAAAAGAAGTTAATCTCTTTTAAAATCAGAAGGAAAATATGAATTTTGAGGTCGAAGGGAAAGTGTTCATATGTACTATTGGTATATTCATCTTTCTATCAATGTAGTTGTTGACTCTATATTTAATATTTGAATAAATATTTATATATATTAAATATATAGATGTTTAAATAAAAATATTCTTATTTATATTTATAAATATAAAATATAATATGTATTTTATAAATATAAAATATAATATATAAATATAAAATAAAATAAAAAATATATTTTTAGGGTCCTACAAAGGCAGAAGTGCCTAAGGTCCATGAAAGTCATAACGCACTTCTGGTTGGAAGCTTTAAATTGGCAATGATGAGAATATTTATACCCCCCTAAATCAGCAAACGCTACAAATCAGGGCTTGAACTTTTGTTTTGCTAGCAAACATTTTCTGTAAAGGGCCAGATAATAAATACCTTAGGCTTTGTAGACTGTGTGATTGTGTCATAATTCTCAACCCTGCCTTGCGGTACAAAAGCCACTACAGTCAACAAATAACGGGCGTCACTGTGTTCCAATAAAACATGGTTTTTTGCCAAACCCTGGTCTAGACCTCACGTGCTAAAGAAAAAGGCAATAGTGCAGATTAAGGGTTAAGTGTGCTGTATCTGTATCAGTTACATTATGATCAGCACAAAAATGTGACAGTATTTGAAGCTCTTACCTGAGTTGGCAAAGAAGCTGCTCATGTCATTGACGAATGAGTGAAGTTCCAATGTACATCTTCATTATTTCATTTTCATTTTCTTCATGAATATAAATGAAACTGTCAACCCACAGTCATGTCAGAGCTATACTTGGCGAAGGTATGTTGTCAAGCAACTTACCTCTGTGAGTAACTGAAGTGTAATCCCATGGGGAAACTCTGGGCAACAACCCAAAACACATACCTCACGGTTACCACACCCAGGGGAGCAAGGAAGCTGGGGTATTTATACACCAACTCCCAAAAGTCATTAGTTGAGGATTTATCCCAGAGTGGGTGAATTCCTCAGCACTTTTGGCCTTCTGGGAACACTGGCAGCTGAGCTTTCTGCAGCTTTAGGAAAAGAGCCCTCAGACATACAGTGGTGCAGATAATGGCAGCTAAACATCTAGTCCATTCAAGGGATCCTGACAGTGCATGCCACACCCTCTGAGGTAAAAGTTGGAGGACCTTCTAGTTGCTATGGTGGTGTGCTTAAAATATTTTAAGAGATCTAGGCCCCATCCAGCTTTGCCATCCTTTGTGTTAATTCATGTTCCTCAGGGTCCAAGATGGTAGCTAGAGCTCCAGCCTTCACATGCATATTCTAGGCAGCAAGATAGAGGAAGAGATGAAAAATAAGGGGCAAAGAGTTCATATCAGTTGTCTTTTAAGAAAGGATACTGAAAGGTGCTATAGCACACTTCCACTTACAACCCATTCACCAGAACTTAATCCACCTGGCCACACTTAGCTGCAAGGGGGAGTGGGAAGTGCAGCCTTCATTCTGGGTAGTTACGTGCCCCCTAATAAAAATGCTATTTCTCTGGAAGAAGGGGGAACATGGATATGGCAACAACTAGCAGGCATTGCCAACTTCCAAAAGGAATGCAAATTGATACAGCCTTATGTCAGAATATATGGTGATGAGGACAGACACATGACAAAACTGAGGGCCCAGGTCAGGGAATAAGGACGCAGTTTTATTTCAACTCACAAGGGGGAAATGAAACAAGTACTTTCCCTGTGTTTAAACTCAAAGCCACAGCTAGATACTAGATTACAGCAAGTCATGGACATCTTAGAATGGGTCACCTTGTCTGTGCCTTCTTTGATGCCTTCCAGGGGAGGAGTGCATGCAGTTTTCCCAAAGAATTGGTGGCACTAAATTTATCTCCATGTCTTTGTGTGCTTTTTTATTGAACAGACTTTATTTTTTAGAGCAGTTTTAGGTTTACAGAAAAATGAATAGAAAGCACAAAATTCCCATGTGCCCTCTCATCCAGCCCCCAGTTTCCTCTATTATTCACATGTTGCCTTAGTGTGCTACATATGTTACAGTTGATGAGCCTGTTATTATTATTAACTTAGGTCCATAGTTTACATTAGGGTTCACTCTTTCTGTTGTACATTGAGTTTTGACAGATGTATCTATCATTAAGAGTATCATACAGAATAGCTTCACTACCCTAAAAATCCCCTATGTTCCATTCTGTTCATCCCTCCCTCTCTGCCAAACCCCTGGCAACCATTGATCTTATTATCTCTGCAATTTTGCCTTTTCCAAAATGTCCTAGAGTTGGAATCTGATAGTATGGAGCCTTTTCAGATTGGTTTCTTTTACTCAGCTATGTGCATGTAAGTTTCTTCCGTGCCTTGATAGCTCATTTCTTTTGATCACTGAACAGTATTCCATTATATGGATATACCACAGTTTGTTTATCCACTCACCTGTTGAAGGGTATCTTGGTTGCTTCCAAATTTTGACAATTATAAATAAAGCTACTATAAACATCAGTGTGTAGGTTTTTGTGTGAACAGAAGTTTTCAAATTGTTTCAGTAAATATCAAGGAGTGCAATTACTGGATTGTATGGTAAGAACATGTTTAGTTTTTTTTTTTAAGATTTAATTTATTTATCTGACAGAGCACAAACAGGGGGAGCGGCAGGCAGAGGGAGAGGGAGAAGCAGGCTCCCCGCTGAGCAGGGAGCCCGATGCGGGGCTCGATCCCGGGACCCCAGGATCATGACCTGAGCTGAAGGCAGACCTTAACCAACTGAGCCACCCTCATTTTCTAACAGTGTCTTTCTCAGAGTAGAGTTTTTAATTTTAATGGAGTCTAATTTATCAATATTTTCTTTCATGGCTTGTGCTTTGGTGTTGTATCTGTCCCCACGTTTTAATCTGTCTTTCCTGTGACCAGAGGCATAAATCACAGTATAGGCAGTGTAAACTGAAAGAGCAGGAGGGTGCAAATTGACCCCCGGTCTTGTCTATGTAGCAGTAGGCTCTCGCTTATGGATTACTGAACAGCAATACAATGTACCACAAATCATGAGTGCAAATTCCTACTAAAGGAGCCTGAGCTCTGCTTTCGGATACCCAAAGACATATCCCAAAGGAGAAAGCAGGAGAGAAATTCAGTTACCAACTAGGTAAATTGAAACACTGCTAGGGCGCCTGGGTGGCTCAGTTGGTTAAGCGACTGCCTTCGGCTCAGGTCATGATCCCGGAGTCCCGGGATCGAGTCCCACATTGGGCTCCCCGCTCAGCGAGGAGCCTGCTTCTCCCTCTGACCCTCCCCCCCATGTACTCTCTTTCTCTCATTCTCGCTCTCTCAAATAAATAAATAAATAAATAAATCTAAAAAAAAAAAGAAGAAAGAAACACTGCTAGCTTCATTTTCCACAGCTTATTCCCAGTTCCTCTGTGCTGCTCAGGGGTGCAAAATCAATTCAATATAGGGTTCCAGGGGCCCCTGGCAGGTGCTGTAATGTAAACCCTTCAGGAGATGCAGTAATATAGAAAGGTGTCAATGGTTCCCCATCTTGCTCTCCACCTCTTCCCAGCATTCCCCTTACAACGAAAGCTAATGCTTTCAACTGAAATAACATGCAGGAAGGGCCCATTGCCTCCTTGTCTTCTCCACTTCCATCCCACATCTCCCTCCCCTCCACTGAGAGCTTCCCATGCAGGCTACCAGATACCTCTCAGCAACCACATCTCCAGACCCTGGTATTCCTACAATGGTGGGTACCATCTTAACAACCATGATGGCTGCTTGGCCATGGGAAATGCGCAGGCTGCGGACAGCCCTGCAGCCCTAGGGGAGACCCAGACTAATCAGCTCATGTGTCAGGGCAGGTTGTCAGGAAAGTCAGGGCCCCCGTCATGAAAAATCATTCTTATCATCTTGGCCAACTCAGCTCTTTGGAGACAAAAACCCATCCAGCATCCCTGTGCCAGTGTGATAGGCAGAATAACGTTCCTCCTCCACACCCAAGATGTCTGTCCTGATCCCTGGAACCTGTGAATGTGTTGTCTTACGTAGCAAAAAGGGCTTTGCAGATGTGATTAAGGATCTTGAAACGGAAAAGTTAGTCTGGATTATCCAGGTGGGCCCAGTGTACCAACAGGTGTCCCTACAAGAGAAAGAGGGAGGCAGGACACAGAAGGAACCTTGATGACAAGCAGATTGGAGTGATGAGTGTAAGAGAAGCATGGGTCGGGGGGACGTGTCTGCCTCTAGAAGCCGGAAAAGCCAAGGAAATGAATTCTCCCCTAGGGGCTCCAAAATGCACACAACCCTGCCAAACCCATTTCAGACATCTGACCTCTGGAACTGTAAGATAATGAATTTGCGTTTTAAGCCACCAAGTTTGTGGTCATTTGTTACAGAAGCCATAGGAAACTCACACAGCCAGTGACTATTTGGGGGCAGTTAGAAACCTTGGGAGCCTTGGACCCCACTTGTCTTCATACGCCTGGTCTTTGGAAGGGTCCTTCCCTCTTTCTGACTCGTCATCCAGCAAAAGGGCAAATAGGTGATATTCAGGAACTGGCAGGCAGGACAGGGCACGCTGATCTGTCAGTAAAGCCTTTAGCATTTGTATCTTTTATTTAAATACTTATTTCATTATTTTTAAAGTTTCCCATCCAAACCACAGCTGTAACTGGAATCCAGCTGTCCCAGGCAATAGAAGTATCAACTTGGGGTCTCCTGAGGGGGGCGCGGATTGTAGATTGCTGGAGTCAAAAAGAGATTGTCCGGTTGAACCCCTTGACAGATGAGGAACTGTGGCTGGAGCTGGGGGTGGGTGGTGTCTGGGACCAGCAAGGGTGAGCCGGCACCAGCAGGTGACGCTGGAGGCACCTCTTGGGCATCAGCGGGGTACCTGGCCCCGTCCGGGTCCGCCCATCACGGGTGTTGGTACTGGCTCTCAGTGGCCGTGTAGAAGTCGTCCAGCACACTCTGGATATATTCAAAGGTCGGCCGCTCCTCAGGGCGGTTCTTCCAGCAGCGTGTCATAATGTTGTAGAGCTCCTCAGGGCAGTGCTCTGGTCGAGGCATGCGGTATCCGCGCTCCAGTGCCCGGATCACCTCAGGATTTGTCATCCCTGAGAAGGAGCCATGGAATTAAAGAGGGAGGGACTGGGACAGGGAAACCCCAGGGTGGCAGAGACTGTTGCCTCCCCAGCAGCTATCACTTCCCACCTCCCCTGGGAGCTGAGCCCCTCCCACTATGAAAGCCAGGTACCCCTTCCCCAGCCTCCCCTATAGCTAAGGCAGGACCATGGCACCCAGTTTTGGCCAACGGGAGCTGAGGAGCATTGTCCCGGGAGACTGCCAGGAAAGGTGTTCCTCCCTTGAAAGATACACCCTTCCTCTTTCCAACGACACTGAGAAACAACATGATTCTTGGAGCTGCAGTGCCACACAGGGAAGACAATCACAGAGACGCTAACCCACAGACCTGAGTGCTATTGAGCACCTGACCTGGCCGGTCACCAATGCCAGACTCATGGAGGTTAATAATTTGCCTATTGTTTCTGCCATTCTTAGTTATTTTCTTACTTAGAGCCTAATGCATCCTAATGGATTTGGTTCCATAACCCATTGCCTGGCTTTTACCGGTGTACTCTCAAGACAAAAGAGGCAGTCTGTCTCAGTGTCACTCTGTGAATGGGACTATTTCCTTGTTCAATTGAAGTTTATGTGAGATATCTTTAAGAACAATCTTCTACATGTCTACAATGCCCAATTTTAAATTATCAGTCTAGAGCTCCAAACTCATATATCCGAGTGCTTCCTTCAACATCTTTACTTGGATGTTACAAGTCACCTCCATTTTAACAGGGCTAAACCAGAACTCTTGGATTTCTAACCCCAGACCATTACCCACTTGGCTGCTCAATTAACCAAGAGGATCAGCCTTGATTCTTCTCTCTCTCACCTTCCATATCAGCAGGTCACATTTTTCCTTCTTTTGAAAGATAGTATCAGCCCATCAGTTTACCTCTGTCTCCACCACCTCTCCCTATCCCGCTGCTGTGGCTACTACCTTCCCCCCAGCCCCCAATCCACTCTCCATGCTGAACCAAAGCATCACGTAAAGATGGAAATCAGATGATGCCACTTCCCTGACTCAAACCCTCCAATGGCTTCCATACACTTAGACTAACAGCCACAGTCCACAGTCTTCAGCATGGCCATGGGCCCTCCCTGATCTGGCCCCTGCCAACCTCATCATTCACCATCTGCTCTCATTCCTTGTCTCCAGCTCCCAGGCTTCCTTGTTCTTTCCTCAGATACACCTCAGAGCCTAAGAGCTAGCAGTGTCTTCTACCTGGAGTCTTTCCCCTAGTTCCTCACTGAGCTGTCTTTCAACTCAAATAGGACCCGCTCTGACAGGAGCTGGGGAGCACCACAGGTGCCCCACGTCACTCCCTCTCACTCGCCCTGCTTCATTCTCTGCTCAGAAGTAATCTCCAGCTGAGAGTGTGTGTCTGTTGTGTGTGTCCCTCCAGGCTAGAATGTGCTCGACTCACCATATCCCCAGTGCCTAACACACAGGAGGGATTCGATCAAAACTGATGAATGAACCAACCGTCTATTCCTCTTATTTCTAATCTTCACAACCACTTCTGCAAGGTAGATACCATTACTATATTTTTTTAAAGGTGAAGACACTAGGGTAGGAGAAGTGAAGTGACTTTCTCCAAGTGTAATTGCTGATGGGGTGAGATTCAAATTCAGGATGGTTTATATACAAAGTCAGGGAGTCTTTATATCTGCCTTTCTGCTTCTCCCCAGTGTTCTGGCTACAGAACAGGAGACATCTGAACCAGAAAAGAACAGAGAATAACATTATTTATGGACTCTCAGGCAATCTACATGTTGGGTACGTCTTTGTAACTACCTGGTCTACTCAGCGTAGGGTGCTGCCCGTAGGCATGGGGATAAATTAATCCATTCAACGAATAGTTATTAAGAACCCACCATGTGCCAAGCACAGAGGTGAGCAGTGCACATACACTAGTGAGGAATACAGACATGATTTCTGACCTCATGGAGCTCAGTGTTTGGTGGGGGAGAATATTAAACAAATATATAGTTGTCAATTGCAATGAATACTATGAATGAGACAGTATGGGGTATTATGAATGATAAGTAGGGGTCATGTATGATACTTTAGAGGACTGCATGGTGGGATACAGAATGAGATGAGGCTGGAGAAGTAGGCAGGGGCTGGACCATGTAGGACCCACGGGCCATAATTAGAAGTTTGAGATTTTGTCCCAATTACGATGAGAGACCATTAAAGAGTTAGAGGTGGAGAAGGGACAAGATCTGTTTCACAGTTCTAGAAGGATCCCTCTGGCCTCAGTGGAGAATGGCCTGTCAGGGAGAGGGACAGATGCAGGGAGACTGCGTAGGAGGCCACTGTACCATCAAGGTGGGAGATGATGTTGGCCTGAATGTGGATGGAGACAGTGGAGTTAGACATGAGCATGTATTTTGGAGGCAAGTGGCCAAAACCTTGGGACTGCTTTGGATGTAGTAAGGGGTGAGAGAAAAGGAAGGGCCAAAGATGTCCTCAGATTTTCAGCTTAAGAAACTGGGTGGATGGTGGTACCTTTAACTGAGATGGGGCAGATGAGGGGAGGTTGGGGGCAAGGATCAAGAACTCCATCTGAATGGATACACTGACAAGAGAAGAGACCCAGGCTGGGCCATGGAAGCAGCTGCAAGCTGATGCCCCCTTCGCTACCTGGGTAAGGGATCCGGCCATAGGTGACGATCTCCATCAGCAGAATACCAAAGGACCAGACGTCTGACTTGATGGTGAAAGAGCCAAAGTTGATGGCTTCAGGAGCTGTCCACTTGATGGGGAACTTGGCCCCTGTGGGATTGGGCAGAGCAGAGTCAGAGAGAGTCTGGGAGCAGTCAGGGCTGAGTGTCTGCTAGGGTGAGGAGCAGGACAGGGGCAAGGCTGCTAACATCTGCCCCTACGTCCAGCCTCCACGGAAGCAAGGGCTATCCATCCTGAGGACAGATGTCTAGAGTGGAGAGGAAGGGGCAGAGGGGTTTGGGGCGTGTCAGGGGAGCTGACACTCTGGACCATCTCGTTGATTCAGCCAATATCCCAGTGAACTACAGCTCCCAAAGAGTAGAGTCCTCGAGGACTCCTATGAATGGAATCATACAATATGCAGTCTTTGTCACTTAACACGATGTTCTGAAAGTTTATCCATGGTAAGCATCTATCAGTCCTTCCGTCCTTTATTGTGGCCAAATAATGTGCTCTTGTTGCTTCTACTTTTTGGCTGTCACAAATTATGTTGCTATTCAGCCACAAGTTTGCCTGTTTCTGAATTTTATATAAATGGCACTATCCAGCTCTTTTTTTTTTTTTTTTGGTCTGATTTCTTTCATTTCAACATTATGTCTTTGAGAGCCGACCATTTGGTTGGGTGGAGCATTGGTTTGTAATTTTTCATTGCTGTGTAATATTATATTACATGAATGTACCACAATTTATATATCCGTTCCACTACTCATCTACTCATGGATATTTGGATTCTTCCCAGTTTTTGTCTATTACACATAAAGTTGCTCTTACCCTTAATTTCCACATGCATTTGGCTAGCTCAGCCTAAAATTGATCAGAGTCACTCGGTGAGAGTCTACAGACCAGGGTACTCTGTCCAGAAGGACTCCAGCAAGCTTACTAAAACATAGCTAATACGGAGACAGACACATGTCTTGACTCTCAATGCTCACAACCTATCCAAGGGGGCCCCACGGGTCCCTTGGCAGTGCTCCCTACCTTCCCGAGCCATGTACTCGTCCTCGATGACACGTGCCAGGCCAAAGTCGGCGATCTTACACACCAGGGACGCAGAGACCAGGATGTTGGCGGCTCGGAGGTCTCGGTGAATGTAGTTCCTCTGCTCGATGAAGGCCATGCCTTCTGCAATCTCCACCCAAAACAGAGACACCCTCATGCTCGCATCTGGCCCAGCCCAAGTTGGGTCCCGCCCAAAAACACAAGAGGTGTGTCTAAGTCTGAGAAAATGGGAAAACATGTGTGCCAGCTTCCCCTTTCTTGTGGAAGGGTCCTGAGCGCAGGTTGGCATTTCTCTATCTCCCCATCTAGGTTGGGGGCAATCTCAGGGCTGGGTCTCTTTAGGAGCTTCTTTGGGATTCCAAGACTTCCAGAGACTACTTTGAGGAAAGAGCAATGGCGTTATTTCCTCAGGACCTACATACACATACACCAGAATACTATGAGGTCCTCTCATGCCCAGCCTTCTTTCTGGAAGACAACCTAGGCTAATGTCATATTCTGCTGTATCTCTTGTACCTTCTTCATCCTCAAGCCTGGGTAGGGAAAATTCATGTATTCATTTAACAAATATCTACTGAGTGTCTCACGGGTGGCAGGCATATTATTTGAACAGCTGGTGAGCCAGGCAAGACCCCTGCAGGTAGTAGTAAGGGCCATAAAGGATAAAGCAGGATAGCAGGACATGAAGTGTAGACTGTGGTTTTGGACTGAGTAGTCAGAGAAGGCTGCTTTGAAGAGGTGAAATATTACCAAAGATCTGAGTGGTGATAATAAGTGTGTCAAATAAGAGCATTCCTGGCAGTAAGAACATCACGTGCAAAGGCCCAGAGGTAGGAATGAATTTGGTGTTCATGGAACAGGTGGCTGAGCAGAAGTTGCCACAGAGAGATGGGGGCGGGGGGGGGGGGTTGAGGTTGAGAGGGAGGCTGCTGACTGCGAAGAACCTTCTAGGTTTGGAGGGGAGGTTGGATTGTACACTGAGCACAATGGGAAGATGGTAGAAGTCCTCTAGCAGGAGTGTGACATGGTCTGATGTATATTTTAATGCCATCATGGCTGCTGAATGAATAATAGACTGTATGGAGAATTCTCATTCACAATGGGTCCCTGGAAGCCTCTGATGGAAAGATGTGGGATCTTTCCTTAGGGACTTCTTTTTTTTTTTTTTTTTAAGATTTTATTTGCCAGAGAGAGAGAGCGCGCGCACACAAGTAGGCAGAGCAGTAGACAGAGGGAGAAGGAAAAGCAGGTTCCCCACTGAGCAGAGAGCCTGATGCGGGGCTCGATCCCAGGACCCCGGGATCATGACCTGAGCCAAAGGCAGACGCCTAACGGACTGAACCACCCAGGTGCCCCCTCAGGGACCTTTTTCAAGGGCTTGTGCATTAACCCTCATAAAGAGGCTTATAATTAACACCCAGACACCTAGAAAACGGCACTTGTGGCTTACAAACTGGCCTTTGAGCTCCTCAAGCCAAATGTTATTATAATCTCTGTTTTACAGAGCAGGGGACACTTTTTCCATATCATCCCACCAGGAAAATTCTCAATGTCAGACTCAAACCAGTCTGCGGATTTCCAGTCCCTGTGCCCCATGTTGCCTCTAATTACTGCAGAACTCCAGTGCTCTGGAGGACTGCAGCTGGGTGCAATCTGGTGAGATTTGGGGAGTGGGGTCGGGGAGCCTGACAAGGCAGACCAGACCAAGACACAAGCCTGCTCAAGGTCAGAGGCAAGGGGTGGCGCACTTGCGGGAAGTGGCCAGCAGGGGGAACCTGGTGGCTACCAGAACCGAGGTGTGAGGCTTCAGACTGTAACAAAAACTTGAGACTGATTTTGCTTGGATTCACAAGCCTGGGGTGAGATGAGACAAGGTCTTGTCGGGAGCAGAGGGGTGGGGAGGGGAAGGGATTTATCAGGAGTCCTCAGACAACAGAACAGTTAACAAGGGCTAGTATGCTAATGGCAGGCACTGTGGCTTCTTCATTTACTATGAGATGATATTTGAGCTTAAATAGCATTTGCTCTGTGCTTTGGGGGAGGTACGCCTGCTATCAGCCATATGTCACAGGCAAGAAAGCTGAATTCTGGAGAAATAAGTAACTGGTCCAAGTGGAGACCAGTAGTGGAACTCCAGCATCCCTGCTCAGGGTCTGGGCACTGATCCGTCACTCTACCTGGACTTTTGGCCTTGGATTTGGCACTAATGCTGCTAGTTACCATTTTTTTCAGTACCCACAGGCAGACATTCATGTTATTGATTTTCACATGCACTCAAGGGGGTAGGTGGGATTAACCCAATTTAGGAGACTGTAGAGGATACTGCCTAAGTAACTCTGCAATTACTCTGGCGTTGGACCAGCTCAGTCTGAGCCCCACAGCTCTGGGACCTCAAGCAAGCTACTTCCCTTCTCTTGCCTTACTTTTCTTCTCCGTAGAAGGGAGGACATCAACAGAACCTGCTTCTGAGGGGTCATGTGAGGATGAATCTTCTAAGTCTACATCAAGGGTATAGAACAGTGGCACATAAGTATTCACTTCAATCGTGGCTATTCATGCTCCCTGGTGAGGAAAGTGGCATTCGGAGAGGTTAAGCATCTGGCTCAAAGCAACACAGGCAGAGCTGGGTTCAAAACCAAAACTCTATGTGACTCCTAAGCCCAGATGCTTACATAGTGTTGCTTCTCAAGGATTGAATGAATGAAAAATGGAGAGGTTCACTGGGCTCAGGGTTGGTCTAAGAGCTAGGGGTTGATGAAGTGGTAACATTTCATGTCAACCAAGCAGGCTGCCCTGATGTTGGGCATTAAAACTTGGGTTTGAAAAAAACAAAAACAAAAACAAAAACTTGGGTTTCCTTCTGAGAGTATCCGGGAACCACAAAATCAGAGCTGGAAGGGCCTGATCTGGGCTCTTCCAACTGAATCCCACTGATTGCTCGGGGTTGCCGGTGGTGGGGGAGTGGGGGGGACAAAGCAAAGGGCACCCTCTTCAATCTGAGCAGCTCTGTTTTGACCTATTTTAAAATGTTCAGCTGCTGTATAAGATTTCATTTGACCAACAGATTTATGACTTTATAAAAGGCTTTTGAACTTGAGAAGCACAGATGTGGTCTCATTCCCTCATTTGACAAATGAAGACACCAAGGCCTGTAGTAGGTCTGAGCCCCATACAGTCAGGGGGTGAGACATATTCTACTGCACCGTCTGCCTTTCCTAGGACTGGAAGTGAAGACCTGGTCCCAGGTTGCCTCCTTCCTCTCCCTGGGCCCTCTGCTCCTGGTTTCTGTTTTCCCATCTGTGAAGCAGGGAGAGTGGCTTTGGCCAGGCTGACCCTCCCCCAACAAGAGTTCTGCCAGCTTGATGGTTATAATTTAGTTATAGGCCAGACTGTTGTTTCCCTAGGGACAGGGCCCATTAAAGTGAAAATGCCAGGCCTTGATTTCCATATGCCTCTGGCATTCCAGTCTCCAAAATTTAAAGCCTTTATATATATATATATATATACCTATTCCTCTGCTTTTCTCTCTGTTTAGATATATAGATACTCTCGTATTCCTCTCCTGGGATTTGCATACCCCCATGAGTTCTGCCTTAGGGATCTCCAGAAGGCCCTAGGCAGGTCTCCCTTAACACCCTCCAGGCTGCAAACCACACTGTCTTCATCTTTGCCAGCCCTAGGTATGGGCTGACCAGGCCCAGCTCTTTTCTTTCTCCCATGGGCTTTGGCACAGGCTGTTTCTTCCATCTAGAGTACCCTCCTCTCTCCACTGCAGCTGCCTAACTTCCACTCGTCCTTCAGGGTTCAGCCCAGAAGGCACTTCCTCTGGGAAGCTTTCCTGGGTTGCTCCCGGACCAGGCTAATTGCTCCAGCCATGACCTCCCACAGCATCCCTTTCCTCCCCTGTTTTCCCACAGAGAGGAGAGAATAAGAGAAGACAGAAGCTAAAAGCACTCAAGCCAGGAGTAAGAGGAACTGCAGAGAGTGAAGGGAAAATGAGAGAGAAAATGGGATTTTCAGAAGTGGTCCTGTGGTTTGTGTACATTATTTATTTTGCTGGATACTGCATCCTTCAGTGCTGAGCCAGGACCACTTAGGTAATGGCTCTCTTAGAGATCCAACTGTTTAATGTCTATAAACTCTGGGAGTTTGGATACATTTGTTGCTGTATCCTCCTACCTCAACACAGTAATTTAGGCAAACTACTTCATCTCACTGGGCCTCAGTTTCCTCATCTGCACTCAACTGCTTCGCAATGCCTTACTTTCCTATTCTGTAAAATGGGATGACCTGTCTGTGGCTGGACTGTTACATTGGTGGCCCCCAGTGCACTGTGCCTCCTGGGACTCATGCTCTTATGCAACCCCCTCCGACCCTGAGCCTGGGCTGGGCCGTGGGCCATGCTTTGGCCAATGAAAAGTAGCAAAGCATGATGGGAGCAGAGGATTCACAAGTGCTTGCACATTAGGGCTTGGTCCCTTGGAACACTCCTTCTTGGAACGTAGCCACTGTGCCGTAAAGAAGCTCTGGTTGGACTGCTGAGTGACGAGGGGCCACGGGAGAGAGATCCCAGAGGCTGAGCCACCATGCCGGACATTCTAGCCCCAGGCAAGCTCTCAGCAGAATGCATCCATGTGACTGACGTCAGTCTAACCACCCAGCCAACCCCAGTCAACGCACAGCATCACAAGAAATAACAAACTGTTATTGTTTCAAGCTACTAAGCTTTGGAGGAGTCTTACATAAGAATAGATAATAAAGGGGCTCCTGGGTGGCTCAGTCAGTTAAGCGTCTGCCTTTGGCTCAGGTCTGATCCCGGGGTCCTGAGATTGAGCCCCTGGTTGGCTGGCTCCATGCTCAGTGGGGAGTTTGCTTCTCCCTCTCCCTCTGCCCCTTCCCCACCTCATGTGCTCTCTCACGTGCTCTCTCTCTCAAATAAATAAGTAAAATCTTTAAAAAATAGATAATAAAAATCCCACTCTCTAAGTTTGATGTGAGGACAGATGTGTTAGTGCTTGCAAGACACATACAAAAAGCGTACAGTTGACTCTTGAGCAACGCGAGGGTTAGGACCCCTGCACAGCCAAAAACCCACATACAACTTCTCTCCCCCCCAAAACTGAACTACTAATAGCCTACCGTTGACCCAAAGCCTCACCAGTACCATAAACAATGGATTTATACGTGTTTCGTTTGTTATATGTATTATACCCTGTATTCTTACAAGAGTCAGCTAGAGAAGAGAAAATGTTATTAAGGAAATCATAAGAAAGAGAAAATACATTGACATCACTGTACTCTATTTATAATAAAAGAATCTGCTTCTAAATGGACCCAGCGCAGTCCAAACTCACGTTTTTCCCAGGTGAACTGTACGTTCGTACCGAGCACTCAGTGCCTGTCGGCTGTTACTGCTGGTGGTACTATTATAGCCGGAGCCCAATAAGCATGTGTTAAATAAATCATTGAATTCCTGCCTCCCCCCGCCCCCCCGATGTCCCCCTTAGACTCTTACCTGGGCTGAGAAGTCAATGAGCTTGGGCAATGGCTGCTTGCTGCCCTCTGCACTTTTCAGGAAGTCCAGCAGGCTTCCTGTGGGGGGAGGGGAAGCAACACATAGTACTCAGTACTCAGGCTCCCTTGGTTTATGGTTAAAATTGCTCATAGTCGGAGCGCTGGGTGTTATGAACAAACAATGAATCATGGAACACTGCACCAAAAACTAATGATGTAATATATGGTGATTAACATAACAATAAAAAATTTAAAAAAAAATTGCTCATAGTCATGGATTGAAATAGGGGCGCCTGAGTGGCATCTGCCTTCTGCTCAGGTCATGATCTCAGGGTCCTGGGATCAAGCCCTGCTTTGGGCTCCCTGCTCAGTGGGGAGCCTGATGCTCCCTCTCCTTCTGCCTCCTCCCTCCTGTTCATGCTCTGTCTCTGTCTCTTTCTCTCTCTTAAATAAATAAATAAAATCTTAAAAAATTTTAAAAAGTGACGGATTTAAATAAGAATGTTTATTTACCACTCCTAATATTTGGGAACTAGAATTTGGGTGTTTTAAAAATGACTGTGATTACTGGATGGGGGCAATCACAATTTCTCTGACTGAGATAGCTTTCTGAACCTGGATGACTGGGGTGGGGGTGGGGGGCGTGCTTTCCTGACGCCGGCGTAATTGTGCATTTAGAAAATGAAAAGCGTTTTGAGATTTCAAATTCACACCCAATGAGGTTGTGTGAGATGTTTCTGTTTATCGAAAAATGGGCAAGGATTGAAGATGGTGGTGAAGTGGTGGCTTTAAAAAAAAAAAAAAACCCCTGGGAAATCTTGGATCACGGGGGGGCAGGGTGGGGGCAACCTGGAAGGAATGCTTTGCCAACTCTCTTTTCCAGAGCATTGGTCCAGACCCGGAAGACCGCAGGAGAGGCACAGAGCTGCCCCCAGCCTCGAAGGCTTGTCCTAAACCCATAAGCCTTTCCTGCCATCACCCACTCCCCTCTCCTGTAGCCCCGTGAGCTCCCCTTCTCCTGGCATCCCCTTAAATGGTTTCACCCCATTAACCAGGAGGGCTGGGCCGTTGCCTGTCAAGGCCCTAGTACTCAAGTTCAATGAGTACTTCTCAGAAGAGCTCCTGGCCATACTGGAGGGCAAGAACCATGTCAGGATCACCTTTGAGTGTGCAACTGACCAGTATGAACCAATGCCTGTATCCCCAGTGCCCAGAGCGCAGCACCTTTGGCCATGAACTCCGTGATGATGTAGATGGGTTCCTCTGTGACCACTGCATGCAGCTTCACCAGCTTGTCATGCTGCAGAGTCTTCATCAGATTGGCCTCTGCCAGGAAGGCCTCCACAGACATGCTCCCTGGCTTCATTGTCTTCACGGCCACCTTGGTGTGCTTGTTGTAGGTGGCTGGAGCAGGAGAGGGAACACGAAAGGTGGTCAGAACCCACTGCTCCTTCCCCCATGGCCCTGGGAGGCCCCGCTGCAGAACCGCTTCCTGCAGAACTCCTTCCCTGCTCATCTCAGCCCTCAGAGAGGAGAAGGGAGACACAGGCTTTGGCCTCAGAAAGATGTGGGTTAGAAGGCTGGTTCACAACTTCCTAGCTGTGTGCCCTTGGGCAAGTCACTAAACCTCTCAGAACTGCGGTTTTCTCATCTGCAAAGTGGAAATGATCAGCACTGCCTTTCAAGGGCTGTTGTGGGGATTCAAGAATAACCTCAAAACTTCACTCAGATTGTTCCTGGTGCATACACACACACACCATCTTTGCTTAAAATGCTTCAATCACAACACTGCTGTCAATTAAATGACCAATCTCATCATGGTCCACAAAACCCTGTAGGATTTGGCCTTGCCCACCTTGACAGCTTCATCATCCACCAAACTCCCCCTTGCCTTTTGTGCACCAACCAGCCTGCATATCAGTCAGTCTCAAGCACCGGCTCCCCCTCCAACCACAGGGACTCAACCCACCCCACCCCTGCCTCATCTTGTTGATCTTGTAAATCTCATAATCATTTGTGTTTCCCTTTTTGCCTTGGCTGCCAGGAAGCTCAAATCTAGATTTGAGGTCTTCCTGTAGTGAGAGTCTAAGGCTTTATATAATATTTTTAGTTTTCCAACCTTATCACTCAGATCCACTTTACATTCTTCTCTATAATTTCTCTGCCACATTCTCTTATTCAATGCCTGGCACATAGCAGGGTCTCTTTAAATGTAGTTGAAATGTGTGGATTTTAAATTTATTTTTTCTGACTGAATTGTTTGCATCTCTGTAAGTTGTCTTCATTCCCACTTGGAACATGGTGGAGTGCACCAGGCACTGGGCCAGGCATTGCACCTACCCCGCATTCTGCAAAGCAGGCATTGCTGTTCTCAAGTTATTAGGGGCAGGATGGCAGGGTGGTGCATGCCTTTTTCGTGCCCCACAATGCCCTCGCGTGGTGCTGGGCACATGACAGGTGCTCAGAGCAGCTTGCTCATCAGTTACCAACACTGAACGTACCTGAAAAATCTCTAAACTACATTTCCCCACTCTTAGTTTCCATCATCCAAAGACGCCTCTGACGATCTCAACCCCAAACTGGTGGACTGTCCCAGCTCCATACGAGGGAGGGGAAGGGGACTCCTCCTTCCCAGAAGGGAGATTTGGACCCCAACAAACCTGGCCTCAAAGGCAAATCAGCATTTGCATAGCAGGATAATGTGGTTGCTATCACAGGAATTGCTCCTTTACAGTTATTATTCAAATCTCCCTTCCACCCTGGGTGGCATCCCCACTTTGCCTCCAGCTGTTCCTGGAAGCAATGACCTCCCTCATTTGGCCCTCCCTTCACCCTCTGGCCTTGGGTCCTTACCCATCCAGACTTCCCCAAACTGCCCGGCTCCAAGTTTCTTCTCCAGCTTGAGGGATTCCCGGGGTATCTCCCAGGCATCCTTCTCCCACGGCTTCTGGGGCTTGGCGGACATGCAGGGCACTGTCAGCTTCTGGCAGAGTCCATCACTCCCCTCTGGAACACAGCCCCTGGTCAGTCGAGGGCAGCCAGCCAGAGACTTCCCCTCGGAGGCCTCCCTGCCCGGTCCACTGCCTGTGGCCAGTGTTCCAATGGGTTACCGCTATCGGGGACATGAGCACAGAGCATGATGAGATGTCACCTCGACCCTCCTGCTCAACAGGACTAAGCCTTCCAGAGACTCAAAGCAGCTATTTGTCTGGGGAGGGTCAGGAAGAGCTCAGCAGGCCTCAGAAGCTGCAGTGCACCCTTCACTAGGATTCCTGGGAGACGGGTCCACCCTGGTTGGGATGCAGCCCCGGGCAGGACTCACTCTTGTAGTGGGCCACCAGCTCCTGTAGGGTGCTGAAGGTGCTCCGTGGAGAGATGTAGAAGCCCCCACTGTCCAGGGTCCGGATCTTGTAATGTTTCACTGCGTCCCTGTGCTGGGGGTCATAGTCTCGCACAGACAAAGAGTAGCTTCCTGCAAGGGCCAGAGAAAAACCCCTCAGGAGTGAGATCTCAGAGCCCCGCCACCTCATGTCAGCACCCTGACGCCCACTCCTGGCACCCCTGTAAGGCCACTGCTGGCACCGTGTGGGCACTGGGGCAGTGGAGTGCAGGGGAAGAGTGGGCTGTGGGGTCAGGCTCTCTGGGTTCTCATCCAGTCTCCTCCATGTCCAGCTGTGAGATCCTGAATAAGTGACCATGTCACCGCTCTGTGCCTCAGCTTCCTCATCTGTAAAATGGGGTTGGTCATCATACCTCCATACCTCATCACATTGCCTGGTGATTAGAAGAAGTAATGCTGTAAAGCACTCAGGGTGTGAACACTCAACACATGTGGGCTCTCATCAGCATCTTCATTATCTCAATCTATCTATCATCTATCATCTATCACAAAAGCCAAGATACCACATCAGATTGGTAAATAGGTTACTCAGAAACAAACAAAAAGATCCACAACAACAAACGCACTCTGACTCTTGAAATGTAAACACTGAAATGTAAATGTCAACATTAGATGTCATGGTAGGCTGAACAACAGGCCCCCCCCCCCCGAGATGTCCATGTCCTAATCACTGGCACCTATGACTTTGTTAGGTTAAAGGGACTTGGGGGATGTGATCCCCTTAAGGATCTGGAGATGGGGACATTGTTGTAGGTTGTCCAGGTGGTCCCGAGGGAATCACAGGGTCCTTATAAGAGGAGGTGGGAAGGTCAAAGTCAATAGTAGGATAGGTGAAGATGGAAACACAAGGTTGGAGGGATGCGAAAGGGGCCATGAGCCAAGGAATGCTGATGGCCTCTAGAAGCTGACAAAGGCAAGGAATCAGATTATTTCCTGAAGCCTCTAGAAGGAACCAGCCCATTGGACACCTTGACTTGAGCCTAGCGAGACAAATTTCAGACTTCTGACCTCCAGAACTGTAAGATAATAAATTTATCTTGTTCTCAGCCACGAAATTTGTGGTCATTTGTGACAGCAGTAATAGGAACCTAATGCGCATGACATCACACAGACCAGAAACACACAAGTCTTTCAGTCCCTGACCATGCTTCTGCATTTGCAAGCTGTGCGTCATTGGGCACGCTATTAGCCTCTCTGTCTCTCATCTGCTCTACGTGCACTGTGAGTACTATGTCATAGGATTTTGAGGAGGCTTAAATTTGCACGAATAACAATTGACCAGACATGCCAGCCACTGTTCTAAGAACTTCGTCCAAATAAACTGTGAGTGAATATGAATAATTGTCACAAAAACGGATTGTAATTGTATGAATATAAGGCATTATGTTATTCTTTATAGTGAATGAATAACCCCACGAGGTCAAGGTTTTAGATCACCATCATTTCAGAGGCAAGGAAACTGAGGTCCAGGCAGGTGAACTAACTGACTTGTAGTCATGCAGCTGGGAAGTGGCAGAGCCAGAATTCAAATCCAGGCAGCTGGCGCCAGGCCCCACTCTTTGCCCCTCTGCTGGGCCAAGGTGAGGCTGGCTTGACTGATACTAGATGGGGTTGGGGTAGAATCCGAGAAGCAGCAGGGTGGGATTCAGGGCACTCACGGTGCCAGTTTTATTAAACTGGCTAAACTGGTCCCTTGGGTCCTCCGTCTGGGGGGACCTGTGAGAGCGAACCAGGCTCAGCTTCCTGCCCTTCAGGGCTGGGGTTGTTTTTCGTCTCCCCTGCCACTATCTTCAGGATGGACCAGCTCAGTCAATCCCCAGCTGTCCTGGGAGCAGCTGGAGAGGAGAAGCTGGGGACTGTGTACAGCTTTGCCTTTTTTGTCCTATTTGCCTTGCCCTGAGGTTTGGAAGGGGCCTTGTTGTGTGGGAGGAAATAAGCCTAAATATGCACTGGCCTGAAACAGTGATGGTGAGTGCCTACCACGTTCGGGCTTGACCAATTCAGAAATCTAGGGGTAGAGGAGAAGGCCATGCAGATGCTTTTGATGGATGTCTCCAAAACTGCTCAGGATACTGTGAGGTCACATTTTATGCAATTTACTTGCTTAATCTGAACGAAGCAGCTTTGAGACCAAACATATTAGTTAAGGTGCCCTCCACGTGTGAAGTCTGAAATCACAAGACTCCTTCTTGACATCCATTCCTTTGGAAAAATTAGCCTCAACAGATGCTAGTTTATGTGATGTTTTTGGGTACTGTTCTTCCTTCCTGGGTGACAACCCAGCAGAAAGCCCCGGAATTTCAGGAAGTAGTTCGCCAACATCAAAACTTCCAAAAAACCTCAAAAGAGCCAGTTTAAGCAGTCTCAGAGGAGGCTGACCTGGGGCTCTTCCTGTGGCCTGGTCTACCCCTTCCTTATGGAAGGAGGGGGAATCAGGCTTCTGGACAAGATACACTGTGATGGGTATTTTAAGTAATATAAGCTAGTGAAGGTCAAGCTTCAACAGAATATTGTTTCTCGGGGTCCACAACCACTTGGGCCTACATCCAGGGACACAACCAGGAACTACAGAGCCTGAGAACACCTAAACCAGGCTCGAGCAAAGGGCAGGAGAAAAGTTGGCAGTCTGGTGGGCTGGGTGAGTGGCTCAGCCCTCCCGGGGCATTTGCAGGAGAGTGGTGGCCAGTCATGCCTGGGGTACCCCTGCAGGGTGGGGCAGGGTGGGCAAGGCTGGCGTCACCTTTGGTGGTCTCGCTGTCCCGGATCATGAAGGAACCCAGCACGTTGCCCGGGGCCAGGAGTTGGCGCTCTGCATCCTTCCGGCTGATGTCCTTGAAGAACCACCTGGTGGAGAGGGGCGGGAGCAGCATGTGAACCTGGGGTAGGGGGTCCTGTCCCGCTTACACTGGGTACCAAGAGACTGAGAGCCTGGCTTCCTGTAGCATCGATTTTCCCACAAGATTCTTTTGGGAAAAATAACCATTCTTTTGATACGGAAACAGACATTTACCAGGAGTGAATTCAGTTTGCTGAGATGGAAACTTATGCAGTTTGGGGAGCTTTCTTTAAGAAAAATAATACCAAAAGAAAGATTTCCCCCAAAAAAACTGTAAAAAAAAAAAAAAAGAAGAAAAACTTTTTTTTAAAGAAAAGGAGTACAGCATTACAAATACAAAATGCCCATGGGTCATTCCATTGCCGCCCAATGTGAGAGATATGGTGATGGATAGAAAAACTGGTAAGATACAGCCGTCTTAACCAACTGTGGTCAAAATCTTGCTTTCGCCAATTTCAGAGGTACACATGAGCATCCTCTCAGGGTCTCAGATGTCCATGTGAGTAGGGGCCTGAACTTTGTAAACTTTACAATGTATCCTCTTCTGTGTGTGCAACGTTGAATACAAAGTCAACATGAATTTTCAAGCTAAAATGTGAGATTTCAATAATTTTATACTTGGACCTTTTCATTTTTCTCCCTGAATGAATGTTTGGGATATTGAGTGGAAAAGCTCAAGCTGCAGCAGCAGCCAAATCCATTCCTACCCTCAGCAGGGTGAGGAGTGGTTCGTATGCTATAATGGAAAACGTCCCAGACCCAAGGTCAGCTGGCCTTGCACCTGCCACAAATCTGCTGTGTGACTTTGAGCAAGTCACTCCCCTCTCTGGGCCTCTGTTTCCTCTGTATCAACTGGGGGAGAAAGACAGCTAACATTCATCAAGTTCTTGTTATCCACCCAACAACTGTATAGAATCATGGCCCTTATTATCCCCATTTTATAGATGGGGAAACTGAGGAACAGAGAGAGCAAGTTACTTGACTGGTGTCATATAGCTGGGAAGTAGTGGAGGCAGGATTCAAGTCCAGGCGATCTAACTCTGGAGCCCACACTCTTCGTCACCATGGGACACTGGCCACCTGCCTTCTCTGTTTTCATTTTTTTTTTAAATTTTATTATGTTATGTTAGTCACCATACATCATCAGTTTTTGATGTGGTGATCCACGATCCATTATAACACCCAGTGCTCCATGTAGTATGTGCCCTCCTTAATACCCATCACCGGGCTAACCCATCCCCCCCCAAAAACCCTGTTTGTTTCTCAGAGTCCATAGTCTCTCATGGTTCATCTCCCCCTCCAATTTGCCCCCCCTTCATTTCTCCCTTCCTTCTCCTAATGTCCTCCCTGCTATTCCTTATGTTCCACAAATAAGTGAAACCATCTGATAATTGACTTTCTCTGCTTGACTTATTTCACTTAGCATAGTCTCCTCCAAGTCCCATCCATGTTGATGCAAAAGTTGGGTACTCATCCTTTCTGATGGCTGAGTAATATTCCATTGTATACATGGACCACATCTTCTTTATCCATTCGTCTATTGAAGGGCATCTCAGCTCTTTCCACAGTTCGGCTATTGTGGACATTGCTGCTATGAACACTGGGGTGCATATGGCCCTTCTTTTCACTACATCTGTGTCTTTGGGGTAAATACCCAGTAGTGCAATTGCTGGGTCAGAGGGTAGCTCTATTTTTAATTTTTGAGGAACCTCCACACTGTTTTCCAAAGTGGCTGTACCAACTTGCATTCCCACCAACAGTGTTAAGAGGGTTCCCCTTTCTCCACAACCTCTCCAACATTTGTTGTTTCTTGCCCTGTCCATTTTTGCCATCCTAACTGGTGTAAGGTGGCATCTCAATGTGGTTTTGATTTGAATTTCCCTAATGGCTAATGATGACGAACATTTTTTCATGTGTCTGTTATCCGCTTTCATTTTTGAACTGATTTGTGCTATGGTGAAATATTCAAGCAATATAACAGGGTACACAGTAAGAGCTGTCTCCCTGGCAATCCCACCCGTGGGAAGTTATCCTAGGGATTTTGCACAAGGAAGAAATGACAGATACACAAGGAGAATCACTATAGCCCAGGATTGGAAGTGATTTCAGTGACCACTAAGAGGGGACGGTAGGGCGTCTGCATGATGGACACTGCGCCTGTACAAGGAAGGTGCAGGACAGTGTGTGTAGTATCTGCCACTGGTGTAAAATAAAGGGAGATATATGTATTTTCTTGCACAGGTATTAAGCATTTGGGAAGACGCATAAGAAACTGGTTGCTTCTGGGGAGGGGAAGTGGCTGGTTGGGGATAGGATGGAAGGAAGGCTTTTCACTCTGTTCTATGTCCTTCCCCACTATTTGCATTTTGAAACAAAGTATGGTCTACTTCAAGGAGGGGCAGGAAGTAAGATTCCTCCCCGCCCCCTTCCTTTTCAATGCCCTGACCACCCTCCCCAAAGGCACCCTCTGCTGGCAGTTCCTTGATGCAGACTCAAGAACATGTGAGTGCACTCGGCAAGCCCAATGTCTATTTAGGTCAGTGGTTCTCAAGATGAGTCCCTGGACCAGCAGCAACAGCCTCACCTGAGAACTTGTTAGAAATGCAAATTCTGAATCAGACAGTTGAGGAGCAGGGCCCAGAAACCAGCATTTTAACCAGCCCTCCAGGTGATGGTGATGCACTCAAGACTGAGAACGACCATTGAGGTTATCCCCTTTGTTCACAAATGATAGCCCATAATACATGTTGTCTGCACCCTGCCTTTTCCGTTTAGCAAGTATGCTGCCTTGAGGAGTACCACCAGCAGGTACCTCCTCTAAGGCTGCTGGGAAAGTTGGGGTGTGGGCATTCTGTGAGTGTTCAGATCCTGGAGTCTGGGAGCAGAGCACTGGATGCCCCAAGAGAAAGCCTAGAAGGAGTAAGAAGGAACCAAGCCCCGCCTGCCGCATGTAGGGGGTGTGCTAGGGGGTGGTCCAGGACAGAAGGGTCAGAGGTGGGAGAGGGGCCTTCCTCACGGCCACAGAGGGGACACTTCACACAGCAAAGAGGTTTCATGTGCACTAAGAAGGGCATGACTTTAAGATAGGGAAAGCCCAAACATTTTAATTTTTGATAGGTCAGCATTTCAAACCCTCAACACCATTGAGCCAGAGGGAGGAGGGAGAAGAGAGAAAACCATAGGGACGGCCATTTCTTAACTTTTTGAATGGCTGCTTGTGAATGGGATCTGCCATCGCCCCGTAGCTTGGCCATCCTTTCACTTGCCAATCTCGCCCACCATGCTGTGAACATCCCCAGGGAGGAGCCCTGGGTCACCTTGTGTCCCTGGAACAGGGCTGCTGGATGCTCAACAAATGTCTGTTGGGTGATGGGACGGATACATGAATGCCCTATAACTGTTTAGGTTTTCAGAGTCAAGCTAGACACAGAGGAGAACTTGCAGCCTAGACTGCCGTGTTGTAGGGAGCTCTCTGAGGGCACGGGTATGCCTGACTGGTTCTTGCAGTCCCCTTTCTGGCACAGGGCTTGGTGATGGGCGGGCACATATTTGCTGAATGAACCAAATGAGGGATGGCTGACCAGGTGTGGGCTGGCTCGCCTCTCGGAAGACCCTCTTTGGCGTGACCATATCCTTCAGTCAACAAATACGTATTGAGCACCTACTGCATGCCGGCCGGTGCTGAGGATGCACTGGCAGACAGACAAGGTCCCTGTCCTCAAATGCTCCCACCTAGTGGGGGACGCAGGCAGTGAATGTGTGAACAACCACAGAAACAAGATTGTTCTTGCTAGCGAGAAGTGTTCAGAAGGGAACAAAACAGGTCTCCACGAGAGACAGAGGACCACAGGGGATCTGCCTTAGACAGGGCGGTGGCCTGAGACCTGAAGAGCGAGAAGGAGCCAGGCAAGAGCAGAGCCCCTAGGAAGAGTATGTCATGCAGGGGAGACAGTGAGTGCAAGAGCCCCAAGGCAGGAACAAACCGGATTTAGCTCATACTTCCTTCTGTGGGGCAGGAAAAATGGAATACTTACTCCTCTGTCTCCAGAGAGTCAACGTGGGCGACATAGTTGCTTGGGATGTAGCCTTCTTTCCGGGTGGCCAGGGATCGAGCCTTCCACCATTCCCCAGACCTGAGGACAGGAGAGAGCAAAGGAGTCAGGGAGCAGAGGGAATCCCCTGGTCCTCCTGGGCTCCCCACCCGTGGCCTAGAATACCTCCCCCGCAAATCCAGGAAGCAGATAGGGTAAGAGGCAGGGTCACCACGGTCCCAGCCCCCAGCACGCACTCCATCATTAGGGTAGGGATATTTATAACAGTCCGCACTGTGCATCCGAGGGTCTAGAATCAAGCCCCATCCCTGCATTCATAGCCCACAGCCCTAGGTCTCTGGCCCCACTTTTCCCCTGGACTTGCAGTGGTCCATACTTAGGGTATGGGGTCCTGTGCCCATGGCAGACTCATTGTGGGCCAACAACCACAGAGAGTGGTGTGACCAAGCATAACCACTCCCATTCTTGAGCCCCAGCTCACAGTGACACTACACGGATGGTGAAGACTGTAGGGGACTGGAGGTAGGAAACTTCGAGATCCAGAGATTTCTGAATGCAAAGGTACCTCCACAGGGTCTGGTCTATAGATAAACCTGTAGCTTAATTATAGGAGCCCGAGGAAGGCCTCCCTGAGAAAGCACTTTCACCTGTTCATTGTTGCCTGGATGTGCACTGCTAGTAAGTACACAAGCTCCTTTATTGTGGCTCTCATCCAGGTTAACAGCAAACCCTTCATCCTCTATTATGATTCTTATCGGCCATTTACCCTCTAGTATAAGATAGTCTATCAGGTTCTTTATTGAAACACAGAAGAGAGCATGATTGAGTATTGGAGGTAGCTATGTCTTAGGAGTGGGATAGAGACTCACTCTTCCAGGACCACCATCTGATCTCCCTTCTGGAAACTGAGGTCTTCAGGGTGAATGGCCTCATAATCATAAAGGGCAATCACAATGATGTCATCAGGACCTGCTGGGAAAGAGACACGCGGGATGGTGAGGCTTTATCTGAGCACCACCATGGCTCTGGGTGTTTCCTATCCCAACAACTGGCACCCAGCCCTGGATCCACTGACATGTCTGTTTCATGGTATAAATAAGGATTTTGCCATGTGGGGTGCAATTCTAGAGTTTAAAGCTAAAGGTTTGCATTAGTAGACAGTGTAATAGAAACAAAATAGCCTGTACAAAGTACTTTGGGAGCAATTTAAAGGATTTGCAAGGGTGATTTTGACTGGGATTTTTGCCTTAATCTCTAAGCACCTAACCTAATCCTCTCCATGACACAAGACTCCACCACGTTATGTTTGCCAAATACTTACCACCTGTGGACCCTGGTGGGTTGTTGCTGTTGTCAGGACGCTGTGGGGAAGAAATGGGAGAAGGGGATGAATCTAAAAGTGTGTGAGGAGCCACAGAAGGTCTGTGTCAAAACGGACAGCAAAGAGTATCTCATCCCAGCCCTGTGTGTCATGGGTGGAGGATCTGAGAGGGCTTGGGACATATGTGAGGTCACACAGCCCATGAGGGACACCACAAAGATCCAGGTCTCTTGGGTTGTGGCCTTGGCCTTGGCCATACTGGGGGCCTCCTTTGACATATGGTGAGGGGGTTGGTCCAGATCAGTGTTTTCTAAGATATGTTTGAAGGAGCTGTAGGTCTACCAACATGTCCCACGCATAAAGCCTCCATTATGTATATGAAGGACCCTAAGTGATCATCCAGAAGGGATCTGATGCCTACAGATGGCACTCTAACAGCCCTCAGGGAAGTGGAGCTTCATTCCCAGCACAACTAGTCCTTAAAGATACACTGGCGAGTGAACAAACCCAGTTCTTCAGAATGAGAAACACGATCCATAGAGAACACATACACACACATCCTAAATACGTTCTGTGGACACAAACTCTGTGTGAGCAGGACATTGGTCAGAAGAAACTAGCTTTCACTGTAATTTGTGATTTTTCTTTTCAAGGGGAATGTGTTTGTATGTTGCACACGTAAGTAAACTTAGAGAAACAGGTGTGGGAAACAATGAGAAGTATGTCTTTTTGGGGGGAGATCCACAAAGCCCATTAAGATTCATAAAGCTCTGAGGACTCCCACAGGGAAGGAGCCTGTTTTGCCCAGTATTTTGTAAACTAATTTGGCCTGGGAACCCTTTCTCTGAGGAACTTACCACTGAACTAATGCCCTGCAGGAGAACGACAAATGGCCGATAATAGCATCCCTTAAATCTGATGCTCAGGAGACAGCCAAAAACTGGTGGGAGAAAACCCTGTTTCCCACTGGTGTCAAGCTAAGAGGGCCTCGGAGAAGCTGGAGCCCTAGCCACAGAAAGGGCCCAGGGCCATGCAGGTTAGGAGAGAGAACACATCTATGAGTGACTAAGGGTTTAGGATGTCAGTTCAGGACATCACTGGTGTGAGAAGCTCATATCATCTCAGGATGTATTAATAGAGGTCATGTGTCAGAGGGAGGGAGGTGACAATTCCACTGACCCCCCCCCCCGCATTCCCAAAATTAGCCCTGTTCTAGACATCATGCCTGGAGAAGGGCAAGCAGAATGGAGAGAGGCCAGGAACCCATGTCGCGTGAAAAGATTATTTGGAAGGAATGGGTGGGTTGGGATAAGAGCTTTGCCTTCATTCTCTAGTGGTTGTCCTGGGGCAAAGGGAGTGGATGTATTTGGTGTGGGACTAAGGGGTAGGTTTGGGAACAAGGAGTCAGGGTTATGAGACAATAGGCCTCCTTCAATCTGAGGAAGAACTTTCTAAGGGCCTGCCCTAGGAAGGAGAAAGCACCCCTGCCTCGGGGTTAGAAAGACCCAGCTCTGCTGTTCCCAGCTGTGTGGCCCCTGGGAGGCATTTCACCTCTTTGAGCCTTAGTCACAGTCACGGTGGCATAACTCTTGCCTCACAGCTTCCTGTGAGGACTAACGATGTAGAAGCACCTCACCCCAGTGCCTAGAAAATAGCAGGTGTTCCTAGAATGGTAAGATTATTACAGCCATTCCTGCAGCTCTAGTATCATCACCACCACTCCTGGTTCTGTTCCTGTTACTGCCATAGCCTCTCTTCTATCACTGTCATGGCTGCAGTCCCAGGGGCCCTGCGGCCGTGGCAACTATGAGCCCCATTATCACCACGAGTACCGCCCTGACTGCGGTTCCTCATTAGCCTTTGCCTTCCGCCTCTGTTTCTCCTGCTCCCACCCCTCGTGCTTTGGTGCTTGCACGGCCCAAGTTTGAATCCTGACCCTACCCCTCACTACCCGTACAGACTTCAGCACGTTATTAAACTCTGTGTCTCACCTGTGTAACAAAAATTGAGACCTAGGATTACTGTGAGGCTTTAAGGTGTTGATAACACCATACAGCACTTAGGACAGTGCGTGGTCCGTCGTGAGCCCCGAGTAAGTAGAGGATAAGTAAGCAAATACCTCTACTGGTATGACCATTTCTCTTACTGCACCTGCGCTTGCCCTTATACTGCTGCAGATCTTGCTGGCACAATTGTTACTACGGTTATTGCTATAGCACTAATACTACCATTACCATCGCTGCTTTGACTGTTGTTGTTACTGGTCAGGTCACTGACTACTCTCAGCACTGCTTGTGCTACTGCCCAGGCTCGGGGCCTCTGCCCTGCCCACCAGGACCTGGTCCCTGGAGCCTGGGCGGAGGTGCCAAGGCCTGGGCAGCCAGACAAGGAGGAGTGACGTCATTGCCCCAGGTCCTTGGTGCAGATGTATTCCAGAGAGTTAGGGTACACTGTTGGTGACGGGCCAGCTCCGTGTCACCCCAAACATACCCTGCTGACAGTTGGGAAAACAGGAGGCTGTTAGGGCAATTTGGGACAGCATGGGGCAGCCCCTCAGGCGGCCGAACCCCTTTCTTGCCCCACTCACCCGCTTGCTTGCAGACGTAGGATCTGGCACATACACAGTGCTGTGTGGGTTGGTGCTGGGCTCGGTTTTTGAGACCTTGCCTCTGTCCTGGAGGAATTTGGACTTCATGCACCCCATCCTGCATCAGAGATAAGGGAAGTGAGCTTGGCTTGCCCAGAGCCCCACACAGGGAGTCCTAGATGCTGGGTTCCAGGTCCCCTGCCCTCAGGCTGGCTCCCTCTCCCCTACCCTGTCTCCCCCTACCCCCCGTCCACCGCCCCTGCCAAGCCCACTCAGTCCACCCTTGCCGCCTCTGGGCTTCCCCATGTCCTTGTCTGCCACATACCCACACAGAGCTGACAAGTTGTCATAGTCATGCTGCCAAGGACCCCTGCAGTAGGGAGTTTATTCAGAGAATAAATCATGAGGATGATCAAAATTCAACATGCAGAGCCTTGCAGCAGAGCGGGTGGTAGTTACCACAAGTTCAGGGATCAGAAAGCCTTGAGTTGACACTTTACCCCTCCACCCCACCAACACCTCATTCATCACTCACCCTACTCCCCAGTCTCAGTTCCTCATCAGCAAAGTGGGGATAATAATAATAAAACATACTCTCAGGGTGTAGGAAGGATGAGAAAACATGTAGGCAGGGAAATACTTAGCACAGCATGGGACTCAGAGCAAACAGTAAAGTGAAACTACACTATTATTATGTAATAAATTACCATTTTATTGTATTTATTACCATTTTTTAAAATGATTTTATTTATTTATTTGACAGAGAGAGACACAGCAAGAGAGGGAACACAAGCAGGAGGAGTGAGAGAGGGAGAAGCAGGCTTCCCGAGGAGCAGGGAGCCTGATGTGGGGCTTGATCCCAGGACCCTGGGATCATGACCTGAGCCGAAGGCAGACGCTTAATGACTGAGCCACCCATGCGCCCCTTTATTACCATTTATTACCATTAAATGACCAAGATGAGGTCACATAATATGGCTCAAACAATCTAGCTAAATAATAGTTAAGGCATCATCTTCCTTGTATCATTTTATAACTGCCTTATAATAGTTTCCTTCCTCCCTCCGTCTCTCTTTTTTTTTCTTCCTTCTTTCTCTCATAAGTTTATTTGGTCATTCATTCCTTTGTTTACTCAGTAAAGACTTACTGAGCACTCTTCTACATCATGAGTAAGATAAGCGAGTTCATGCCGTTATGGAGCTCACCCTGGGGATGAATGGGAGACACAGACAATAAACAGGTAAACAAATACATAACAAGGTAAATTTAGTGAAAAGTGTGAAGACAATCATTAAGGATGTGATAGGAAACAACAGTGCAGGGCTTTTTCAGACAGGGTGATTGGGGAAGGCTTCTCTGAGGAGGCGACGTCAGAGCTGGGACCCAAATGGCACAAAGGAGCCAGTCATGTAACATGGTGAGGGAACAATGTTCCAGGCAGAGGGAACAGCAAGAGCAAAGGCCCTGAGGCTGGAATGTGCTTGGAGAGAATGAGGTACTGAAAGGAGGCTGGTGTGGCTGGAGGTCACAGGCAGGGAAGCGGAGTGTGGTTTGGGGAAAGGCTGCCACATCTTTTACAGCCAAGGAGGAATCTGGATTTGATTCTAAAGATGATGGGAAACCTGGAAAGTTTTAGGCAGGAGAATGATGGGATTCATTTGCATTTCAAATAATGGCTGCTGGGTGGAGTAGGGACTCTAGGAGGCAGGGCAGGGAACCTGGGCCACTGCAGGAGTCCAGGCATGAGATGATGGTGGCCTGGCCGAGGGGTGGTGACCACCAGGGAGGTAAGCAATGGACAGATTCAGGGGGACATTTTGGAGGTAAAGCTGACAGACGTTGTCGATGGGTTCGTGAAATTTAAAGATACTTAAAGAAAACATGTTTATTCAGATCAGAGTCAAAACTTAATTGCAAAAGTGGCAGAAATGTTTTATTTCTTCTCTTAAAATGCTCACATGTACTTGCTGAGAAGATGAGCCATAAGCAGCCACATGAGAGAGTAATTGTTTTCCTCAGCTCTACACAATTGCAATTCTCTTCTAAATCAGAACTCAGTTATACTTATCTTGTTAAAATAAACACACATTTGTGGTTTAAGGAAAAAAATCCATATTTCTAGGCTTGGGGAGTTACTTTTTAAAAAAGATTCTTTTTATTCACAAGGATGTTTTTGTCTGTCCTTGTGGGAATTGGCAACAATTTACCACTTCAAGACTTAAGCGGTTTCTGCTTCATTTGCCTATTGTGAATAAAATAAGGAACTGCTTCAGACTCCCAGAGTGCTGCATCATTAATTTGAAAAATTATCACAATTAATCACTGCTTTATAATGTACTTATATGCATTTAAAACACCTCTCTTTGACTTGTGATAAATGGGTATTACAGTTCCGGAAATAAGACAGCATATTGTGTGGTTCTGTATGGCATACAATCATATTACATTTCATTTTTTTTCATATTTTTTTGATTATATAAGAGTGTTCTGGGAAGGACACTGCTGTGTGGTGCAGGGCAGCTCCTTCTGCTTCTCTGAGCACCTACTGAGTTTCATTTATACCAGCAATTTACATATTCGAGAGGGCCACAGGGTCCTGGGTGACAGGACTCTGCAGTCCTCATGCTGATATGCATGATCCAAGGCCACCTCTGAGAAAGGACGCTGGGGTCCTACCGCACAGGGTGGTGGTGAGCACGGAATGAGTTGATAAATGTAAAGGTTCCTGGCACAGAGCAGACACTACAGAAATGTTAACCATAACCAATTCTGTTTACTAGCAAACGTGGACCTGCCCTGCAGGATAAAGCAAACACAGATTGCAATTCCTCTGACCCAGGAGCTTAGAGATACAGCAACACTTAAGAAGTTAACTTTTTATTTGAATTTTATTTTATTTTATTACTTTATTTATTTTAAGTAGGCCCGAAGAAAACATGGGGCTTAAACTCCCAACCCTGACATCAAGACTTGAGCTGAGATCAAGAGTCAGATGCTTAACTGACTGAGCCACCCAGGCGCCCCAAGAAGTTGACTTTTGAAAATAGGGAGTTCCCATTAGTTCAATTTTTGCACAATAAAATATGATTTTTAAAAAGTTATATACTGAGCGCCTGGGTGGCTCAGTTGGTTAGGCGACTGCCTTCGGCTCAGGTCATGATCCTGGAGTCCCGGGATCGAGTCCTGCATCGGGCTCCCTGCTCAGCAGGGAGTCTGCTTCTCCCTCTGACCCTCGCTCCTCTCATGTGTTCTCTCTCTCTAATAAATAAATAAAATCTTAAAAAAAATAATAATAAATAAATAAATAAATAAATAAAATCTTTAAAAAAAAAAAAAGTTATATACTGGCAGGAGTCAAATTTGTATAAAATGTGACTGTCCCCCTAAACCAGGAGAACTGTTCCTCTGCTTGGCATGGTGTGGCCTCAGACATGCTCATTTTTGTGACTACCAGACCTGGAAATGTAATGGGAGCCATGTATATAATTTAAAAATTTCTACAGACATATTTTTCCAGGTAAATAGAAACAAGTGAACTAATGTTAAGGTACATTTATTTTCCCTAACATGTCAAAAATTATTAACATAATTTTTATAAAAGTATAAAAATTATCAATGAGGGGTGTCTGGCTGGCTCTGTCAGTAGAGTGTACGACTCTTGATCTTGGGGTGGTGAGTTCAAGCCCCACATTGGGCCGAGAGTCTACTTAAAAATAAAAATAAAAATAATAAATACAATTTTTAAATGTTAAAAAAATTATCAATGAGATACTTTATACTTGTTTTTTGCACACTAAGTCTTATAATCCCAGGGTGTATGTTACAGGTATAGCCCGTCTCCCTTAGGACTCGCCATGTTTCAGGTGCTCAATAGCCACCTGTGGCTGGGAGCTGCTGAACGCAACAGCGCAGACCCAGAACGTTTCCATCACTGCAGCACAGCAGAGGCTGCTCCTACTCCCCTCTGTGTCCTTCAGTGCTTGGCTTAGCATCTCCCTGGCGCATAGTAGGAGCTTAAATCACAGTTAGTGAATAAATGCATGCCCAGAGCCTGTAATCAGTCCAAAATAAAAGCAGCAGGACATGGTTCCCGTCCCAGGGACTGAGTTGAAAAGGGAAGACTGAGCATACAGAGTTATGTTCCAAAGTCGCAAAGAAGCTGTTATATTTTGGCAAAGACAATCAAAGCCATGCAAAGAGCGCCAAGATACTTAATGAGTAAAACAACAAACTTCAAAAGATATATAATATCAAGCCATTTTTGTAAAATGAATAGATCTGGGTTCTGCTACTAACATGTGTATGTTAATACGGTCATAGAAAAAGCAACCTGTTTATAATAATGAACAGCAGGATAACATTTGGGTTTTGAAGAATGGGGAGGATTTCAGTCAAGATTTGGGGAAAGTCAAGAATGTTCCAAAGGAGCACCTGGGTGGCTCGGTTGGTTAGGCGTACTACTCTTGGTTTCAGCTCAGGTCATGATCTCAGGGTTGAGAGATCGAGCCCTGCATCTGGGTCATACTCAGCGAGGAGTCTGCTTAAGATTCTTTCCCCCTCCCTTTCCCTTCCTCTCTGCTCCTCCCCCCCAGTGAATACATACATAAATAAAATCTTTAAGAAAGAAAAAAGAAATGCAGAATCACAGCCTGCCCCCAATCAGAATGTGCATTTCAACAAGGTCCAGATGATTTGTGTGATCATTCTAGTTGAGAAGTAGTGAACACTATTTGCTCTTGCTTCCTCAGCATCCATCCCACTTCTGATAACACCACCTGGATTTTCCTTGAGAAACCAGCCTTCTGGGACGCCTGGGTGGCTCAGTCGGTTGAGCGTCTGCCTTTGGCTCAGGTCATGATCCCAGGGTCCTGGGATCGAGTCCCACATCGGGCTCCTTGCTGAGCAAGGAGCCTGCTTCTCCCTCTGCCTGCCCCTGTCTCTCTCTCTCTCTCTCTCTCTCTCTCTCTGATAAATGGATAAAATCTAAAAAAAAAGAAAAGAAAAAGAAAAAGAAACCAGCCTTCTTCCACACAATGCAAGGAGCTTCAGGAGGCTAACCCCTCCCTTGCCTTCAGGCATTGACAACTTGATACAGGTCTGGCCAATCAGAGGATTCCA